TTGACTGGAACGCATAACTTAGAACTATTTATTTTTTATATAAAAGTGAGAAGGCCTAGATACACGAACTTTCCATAGAAAATGTGTTACTTCTGAGATTTTATACTACATTTCTTTATAAAGACATGCAAAAGAATATGTATTTTCGGTGACCAGTAAAAAAATGTGCGTTTTCGGGGACCAATTGAAAATAAGTTTAGTTTAAAAAATTACTATAGCGCTTATTTAAAAATAACTTTAATTTTTGTAAACCAATAGATTCACTGCGCTTTGTGACATGATAATAAGAAGTATATAATTTATATTTTTACAAATACTGCATTTTTTTTCTTAAATTTTATTATAAAGACTTGCAAAAAAATATGTATTATCTGAGACCAGAAAAAAATGTGCATTTTCGGGGACAAACTAAAAAACAAGTTTGCCTGAAAAAATTACTATAGCGCTGATTTAAAAATGATTTTAACAAATCAAAAGGTTCACTGCTCTGTGACATGACAAAACATAGCATTTAAATTTTATTTTTACAAATATTGTAATTCTTTTTTAATTTTATTATAAAGACATGCAAAAAAATATGTGTTTTCGGGGACAAGTAAAAAAACTTGCATTTTTGTGGACAAACTAAAAAAAAAGTTTAATTTACAAAATTACTATAGTGCTAATTTAAAAATGACTTTCATTTTTTCAAACCAATAGGTTAACTGCGCTCTGTGGCATAAGAAGACATAGCATGTAACTTATATTTTCACAAATATTGTAATTTAATTCTTAACTTTCATTATAAAAACACGCAGAAAACATTGTATTTTGGGGGACACGCAAAAAATGGGCTTATTTGGGGAAAAAATGAAAAAAATAACATTTTTTTTTTATTTATATATCTGTTGTTGATTTAAAAATGGCTTTAAATTTTGCAAACCAAAAGATTAACTGTGTTCTGAGATATTACAAGACATAAAATGTAAATTTTTACATTTTTCCAAGTTCTGTGAATTTAAACTTTAACTGCATTTATAAAGACATGCACGAATATGTGTATTATTAGGAACAAGTAAAAAAAATTCAATTTCAGGGACTAACTTAAAAAACAGAGTGAAAAGATTTAGCATATTTTGCGTTGATTCATAAAAGATTTGATTCATAAACAATTTTTACAAACCAAAAGAATAACTATGCTCTTTAAAATAGCAAGGTTTAAAAATAACGCCATTTAAAAAATTTTTTAAAGTTAAATATGCTCTTTGTTTTCTAAAAACTATTTAACACAAAACTTCAGTTCAGTGAATTTGTATGAGGATTTTTAAACTTTAGAGTATTTAAAGAAAGCTAAAAACTTCTCCGCCCTTCCCACATGGAAAAAAAATATATCATTTGCCTTAAAAATAAAACTGTTTTTTTTTTTTAATTAAATTTACTAAACAATTTTAAAATTAAAAATATACTTTTTTTGGTATAAAAAGAAAAATCAATAGTAAATCAAAAATATATGGTGAAATCTTCAGAATTGAAACAATTTTAAAATGTAAAAAGAATTAAAAAACCTAAAAGAAAATCTTAGAATCTTGGTTCAGATATAGTTACTCCAATACACCCAGAGACAGATCCAGGATTTTTTGGTGATTGAGATAGCTAACTTTCATACATAGAGCAAACTCCAAACAGTAGTATGTTCATACTTATGTCAAATAATGAGGCTGTCCAAAAAATTGCGACGAATGGAGGCAGGGACCGAAAAAGCCCTTTGTCTTCATAAAACAAATATAAGAGGCAACAACTTGATAAAAAAAATTTTGCACTTTTCTTAATTAGATTTATATTCATTAATAAACTTCAAATTTCAGAGTATTATCTCTGAGCGTTCAAAAATTATAACCATATAAAGTTTAAACCCCCTCAATATGAGGGGGTTACAATTTTAAAAGGTCATAATTTTTAAACGCTGAGAGATAATACTTTGAAACTTGAAATTAATCAATGAATCTAAATCTAATTGATAAAAGTACAAAATTTTTTTATCAAATTGTTGCCCCTCACGTTTGGGGTAAGGAGAGGGGGGATTAAAAAATTTAAATGGCTTTTTTGTAACCTGCCTCCAATCATCGTAATATTTTGAACAGACTCATTATTTGACATAAGTATAAACATACTGGTGTTTGCAGTTTGCTCCGTGTCTGGAAGTTATCTCAATCACCAAAAAATCCTGGATCTGTCACTGAATACCTACAACTTATTTTAAATTAGTTGCTAAGTAAAAAAAGCCCTAAAAATTATCAGAATTAAAGCTAATAATAATGTTCAAAATATAAAAAGACTTAATTAGAGAAATAAGATAATCAGATTCATAAATAAATACAATAACTAAAATTATTTGTGGCATTTTCACAATCTGGTTTGGTTAAAATTCCTACTTCTGTTCGAATGAATCCGTTAACGTCGTTAACAGGCAGTACTATACAGAAAATATATCATTAACAACTCAATAAATAACTTGCATTCTAATTGCTTTAGGTTTCATTAAAATAGTTTCTTTCAAAGTGCATAAGCATTAAAAATATAAATTCAAAATTCGCTAACTTTATAAATAAAATATATCCTGCGAAGCAAAGAAGTACAATATGATTAAGATGTGAACAGTCTCTTCTATTTTTAATTCTTATTTTATTTCTACTTTATTCTATAATAACAAAATAATTTTTTAAAATAAAAAAACACAATACAGATTGAAAAATTATCTGCATGGCTTTATTAAGAAACCTAATTTTAAAATTTTACTAAAGTGAGACCTAAAGTGTTTTGAAAGTAGAGTAAAATAAATGCTTAACAAATAAAAAAAATTAAAATCTCTAAAACATAATATCATAAGCATATATTAAATCATATAAAATAAAATCAGTAAAAGTACACGAGCATTTGAAAATAGTATTAACATCGCAATTTTAAATAAAAATTAGGAAACTAATTGCTAATTAAAGTAGTCAAAAAAAAATTAAACAGTTTAGTTTTAAACATTAAGTTAAATTTTTTATTAAATTCTATTTATACTTTTTATAGTTTATGTTATTTTTATCATTTAAGTGAATACTATTGTATACCCTTGTAAGTTTACAATTTCCTTGTAAAAAATATATTAGAAGGGCTTGCAATTTTTTCGGTCTTTATAGATATATAATAATAAATTAAACTGATTTAATGCAGATTTGTTTTATCAGAGCTCAGACTTTAACATCATTTGTAAACTAAAAAACCCTGAATATTAAGTAAAATAATCGTTGCAGTCAAGAGAAAGATTAATTAACAATATATCACGCCCTTTGATTCTTTATTCTTCGTACCATAACATTACTTTATTTGTAATAAATAGCAAACTTGAAAAACTGATTTTTTTTATAATGCTAGCTAGTTTTTTAAAGTGAAACTAAAGATTATGCAAAATAATTTTATTAGATAAATTTAAGTATAATATAAGTACTAAGTAAAATCAAATTTATGTTTTGACATAGGGTTTTTAATGAAGATTTTAATTTATATTTTAAACATCAATTTATCTAAAACTTGCACTAATTTTTACTTTCAACATCATTTATTTTACAAAATGGAATAATAAAAGATCATTGGTTATAAATAAAATTCATTTTTGTTGATTTAACATTTTACTAAGATAAAAAAAACTTACGCCATGTTATAATATCTTTACTGTCAGTAAAGTAGTTATATTTAAAGTCAAAATACAAAAACAACCTAAATCAATCCTAATAATATAAAGATAAAGTCAGTATCAAAGTAAAAAAAACCTCGTTTCATTTGTTTACATTTTAAAATGCGTTTTTAATCAAGTTCACAAGTTCGCGTTTGAAAAAAAAACTTTCAAGAGTGAAAAAAAATGTTTTTAAAAAACTCATTAGATTATAGTTAAATACTCTTTTTATTATTTATTTAATTTTTCTAAGAAGATAAAAGAGTTTTCAAAAAAAAAGAAGTAAGATATATATACGTGATACATGCAAAAAATTTAAAAATTTATATTTAAATACATGATTTTATAATTTAAGAATGATATCAGGAAATACTAGGATTAAACATAAATATTATTCACTAGCATCTGAATGCGGCCGTGGCGCAGTGGTTAGAGCGCTTGCTTTATAAGTAGGAGATCCAGGTTTGAAACAACCATTTGACATATTTAGCGTCACGGTAAGAAAGAAGGCGTGATCTTCCTGGTTAAATGCACTTCCGCGGTGCTCTGTGACAAAACACACTTTACATTAGTTTTTGTTTTCTTAAGTATATAGCTCTCACAGTGATTACTTGGTTTTTCTGAAGTTTGAAATGATTTCTTAACATTAAAGCCTCATGGCAAATACACTTTAGCAAACGGTTTATTTTACTTTTTTTTCATTTTAATTTTTTGATTTTTACCAAAAATTTAATAATTTAAGGATAAAACGTTTCAAAAAATTAAACTATCGTAGATGATAACTACAAAAATTTATACACAATTTAGATAGCTAATTGAATGTCATAAAAATGTAAAAAATTTTTAAATAACTTTTTAATTTTTAGGTTTCAAAGTTTAAAAAACAGTATGTAAAAAAATAAAAACCAAATCAATTTTAAAGCATTGTTTTCAATTAAAACTTGTCGTAAATTTAAATTTCCAGTGCCTTCGTTGATATAATATAAAACATATACGTCATTAAAAAGTATCCAATGTAAGTGTATCCAAGGTTAGTGTAACTAGCGTTAAAGTGACGTTAAAACAACGATGAATTTCCGATGTAAAAAGTTAACGTTAAGACAACGTTGTATTTTGGTTGTCTATGTCACCGACTTATATAAAACATTAATCCAACGTAAGATTGACGACATGTACCCGCCGGAATAAAGATAATAACTTCAAGAAATTAAAACTTACAATTAGTTATACAAAATCAGTATAATTTAATTATACTTTTTATGGTTAGATGTATAATATATTACCTATTTCTGGTTATTAATAGTTTTTTGGTCGCAATGGAGTGATTGGTCACTGTGCAATGGATCTTCTGATATAACTAGAACTCGAAATTGCATGACTAACCAATCAATAAGTTGCACTGAAAGCAGCGATGAGATTGATTTATGCTATAGCCAAGGTACATTTGATTTTATAAAATCATTACTTTTAGTTAGTAGTGTACAATAATTTATTATTTGTTTATTGTTTTTTATTTTTTTTTAAACAATACGCAATCATAAAATTATTATCTACAATAGCTAAATTTAAAAAACACCAACTTTGAATTCATCAATTTTATTTTAACTTCTATAATATATAATTTTATTCTAGCATTTTTTTTTTATATTTATAAGTTAATTTTATAAATAAAAAATGTTTAACATTAATATTCAATTTATTTTAGTAATTGATTTATAAGGATCTCTCTACTGCCGTTTTTCAAACGCCTTAAGTTATTTTTTACGTGTTTTGAGAAAAACATTATTTGATATATATTTTAAAGCTTGCAACTTTACAAGAGATTTGCAACTAAAATATTTATTTATGTATAAACATTTTTATCTAAGTTATATTACGAATGAAAAAAAAATTAATTAAAAAAAACAATTATTTGTGTTTTATTTTTTCTTAGAAAAAACGTAGACAAGCTTTTTTATAGTTAAAAGTCGCATTGAAAACGCCTTATGAAACAATAACAAGTAAATTACTTCAAGTTTTCCCAATGAATTTTTCAGAAAACTTGGTTACGTATCCAAACCGTATAAATTGTACGTTTTTAAAAAATATATTGGTATTGTGGTTAGATATAGTATCTCCATATAGAGGCCACTTTACCTTTGCTCGCAAAAACAAGTTCGGCTGCCCAAGGAGCGTCATAATCAGCTCTACGGACTAAGAGTAATGTGAGTTGGAGAAGAACGAAGATATGTTAGAGTGAAAGACAGAATTAGTTGAGTTAGAAAGATAGCTTAGAGAAAGCGGACAGGATTGCACTTGATATTAGAAGGTGTAAAACCTATTGCTAGTTAGGTCACCTAACTAATGTACGCCAGCAAAGCCTTGATTAGAGTTCATTTGGTATGAACTTTTTATTAAGTACTTTTTTAAAAGTCGTTTTAAAATCAAATCATGAAGTACCTTTTAGTCGTTTTAAAATAAAATAATTAATTACCTTTTCAAAAGTTGTTTTAAAAAATATCATGATGTATCTAAATTTTGCTCTTTTAAAATATTTATTTTATTGAAGAGTGTCACACATGCCTTTAGTTCTTTACGCATTGTTGAGAAAATCATTCTAAAATTTACTGCAGACTGTACAGATTGCATGAAAAGTAATATTCACAGGAAAAGTGTCAGGCATATCAGAAACAAATATAGACTTGATGCTGATCGAACTGTTTGTGCACAAGAAGTAGTATTGGCGACATTCATGGAAAAAGTAATTATGCTACCAAGTATGGCAAATTTAAAAGAAACAATGTTTTCTCAGTAGTTAACAACACACAATGTAACATTTTCGCTTATTGGAAAAACGCAGGAAAGTTTAGTTTCAACTGTTTGGCATAAAGAAATTATTAAGCGGTGCAAAGAAGAGCTAATTTCTACATATTGATTATTTTTGCAAGAACATTGGAATAAATCTGAAATCACCATTTGGTGTAAAAATTATAACTTTCAAAACAACAACTGGAGTTTAGTAATGTCTCTAATATAAATGATTAATGGCAATGAAATCACAACCAACAAAATTAAATTAAAATATTCGCAAAGTGGTTACTCATATATAAGTTGTGACTCATTTCATCATTTAATAGACATGCGACTGAAACGCCACGTTTACAATTGCAATGGTTGTATTTAAAAAGTAAAAGCAGCGAAACAAAATACAAAAGTTAAAATTTTGCAGGTAAGTTTGATTTTAGTTCTACAAAATCTTTAAGAATTGTAGTTGTAAATAAGTGAGCTTTTATTCTTTTAAGACTACAAACATCTCTGTGCTAAAGAAAAAAATCACTTAATATATGTTAAATAAATTGTCTTCTCGTCCATATATGGTAAATATAGCCAAAATTGAGTTCAAATGTGGTTCTTATAACATGTTTTATTATTATAACTATGGTTGCCTCGTGATTGAAGCATTAGTTTTATCCAAAAAGCAGAAAGTAAAAGTGTCAACTTTACCATACACTATAAGAGATTTAAAAGCCGGTATCAATTCAATCGGTATCAATTCAATCTAAAAATCGAAACTTGTTTTAACAATTTGTCCTTTAATGCCTTTTAATAGAAGAGAGGTTTAGGTAAATTTGTTAAGAGTTTTTACATTTAATTCTTCAATTTCAAAATTATATATTATAAACGTTTTGCGTGCTTAGAAATTTCCTTGTTGTTTGATTTTTTCTTTTTATATTGTTACTTATTTCATCTACTAAATACATTTATTTTAGATTAAATTTTTTTTAATTTTAAACAGATGCAACTAATATAAATTGTTTTCGTAATATTAGTCACTTGCGTTAAATGGTCAAAAACAAATGAGGGGGAGGGCAGAAACAGAAATTAAAGCGGGTTACGGCAGCAAAAAAAGGAATTTGAATGAAGTTTCACAAAACTTGGGAGAAAAGTGGCGAATGCCTTTTCCAACCCCTCCCCCTCCTTCTTTTCATAAGACACTGATATTAGTTACGCTGTATTTTGAAATTCCTAATAGATTAATTCTTAATTTCTTAAAATATTGCTTTGTTATAATATTTATAATCATTGTTATAATATAAAAATTATTTTTATAGTATAATTAAATTATAATAGTTATAGTAAAACTATAATTAACTATTAGGAATTTCAAAACATAGCCTAGTCGAATGATTTTTCCCAAATAAATGCGTAAGGCGTTTTGAAAAATAAATTTTAAATTAAAAGCAGATATTATTTTTAAAGCATTCTTTAAAACTTGAAATCTTTATGAACTTTTTCACACTTTATCAAAATATAATCTTTTTTTTTACTAAAAAGTAGAAAATAAACTTTTTAATTTAAATTTAATAGTTCATTAAACTAAAGTTTGAAAGGTCTTCGCAAGGTTTATTTAGAAACATACCTGACAATCTTTAGTTTACTGAACTATTAAATTTAAATAAAAAAGTTTATTTTTTACTTTTTAGTACAAAAAAGAACTTAATTTTGAGCAAATGTTTTTGCTATATTTTATTTTCTACTTTTTAGTCTTTACAAAAAGTTATGCTATAGTAATATTAAACAAAAACTTCTGAAAAAAAAAAATTTTTTTTTTTTAAGATTTAAAAAAAAAATACAAACCCACAAACAATCTTAGTTAACTTTATAAATGAAAAGCTTTATTTATAAAAAAAATAAATATGTTTATTATTAAAAAATGAAGATTACTTTTTAACAAAAAACAAACCCGCAAGCAATTTAAAAGCTATATTCTATTTAAAAGTTTAGTTTTCCTAAGTCCATTGGACGACAAAAAAAGTTAAGAAAGAGTTCGTGTAAAGTGAACTCCAATCAAAATATTGTCGGCGTACTCTAGTTAGGTTAATCTAGCTAACAGGGTTTCTTTAAAAAAATAATATTACCTTAGCAACAACATTTAGGTAAAAACTTCTCAAAAAACAAGGGGTTGCATCCTGCATCACCAAATTCGTCGAAATTTGGCACAAATGTTTAAAGATATAAGTTAGGAAAGACTGTAAAATTTTTCAAAAAATAAAAAAAATAGCGAAAAAATGTCAATATTACCGTTACCCTTTTAACAAACTTGTAGTAATGTTGCGAAGCTAAAACTTGGTACCAAAGGAGTTTAAACCTGCTGAATCTGAAAATCATAAACTTTTATCTCTCAAAACAATAAAATATAGTTTATATTTAGATCCACAAAACGCACTTGTTAATGACAATAAAAAAGGCCATTGACAACTAAGTTTTAGAAAAAATCTGACTGATGGGAAAAAAGTTTTGTTTTTCGTTATATTTAATATTAAACATATATCTACTTTGCAAACCAATTTTTATTTGGCCTTATGTTTGATCAAGGACTTATTGATGTTTTAGTTTTTCAATTTTTCTTAAGACATTGGCAAATATATTTTGGCAATAAATTGGCAAATATATTTTGAATACAAATACAATTATTTTTGTTTTGTAATAGCTTTGTAAAAAATTTACAAAGTTATTACAAGACATACTTTTACATTTATTAAACTTGTTTCTTTTTACTTTTATTACATAGTATCATGTCATTAAATTTAACAATTTTATGTAACTTTTGTTGTTGATTGTTTTGTTGTAATAAAACATTTATTATTATCAATAAAAAAAAATAATAAAACGATATAATAATGTCTTATCAACATTACCATGTTAAGTTATATTACTTAATAAAATTTTATTTAGTTATCTTTTACTTTTACACAACTTTTTGTAAGTAGTAAATGGAGAATTTACAATAATTAGTAGATAGTAAGGCATTCAAAATATGTCTATTAAACTTATAGCTACTTGTTCCTTTATAAATACATATTGATATGATATTTTTTTAGTTCATGTGTACTTTTCTTGTTAGAGACATTAAGGTTATTTAAGATTTCTTGTATTAAGTGTTTAGACAGAGATTCCTCATTATATTTTTATATGTATAACAAAATTAATTGCTGCTTTGTAAATAATTATGGAGCTTGTTATAAACAATCATATACTCCAGAAAAAAATCTGATTGAAGATATTAACAGCAATGATTGTCAGCTACTTGAAAAACGAACAAATCGGAAACAAAAACAAATTACTAATATATGTACACACCATTATAATATGTTAGTTGTAAGATATGAGGGTAATCAGAAAAGTTGCTGTAATCGATTTCTAAGTCTTCAAAAGGTGTGTAGAGGTAAAAATTTATATATTTATATTTCATTAGGTAATATCATTAATAATAAGTCATATAATTTTTTTTGGTAATAAGATTTGTTCAATGTTTCATAGTTAATAAGATAACAAATTGTATAGAAATATAATTACATAATATATATAATTAATGTTATTTAAGTAATGTAATTACTTTCTTTTTAAGCATCTCTACGTGTGATTACAATGCATACTGTGTTAGAAGCAGAAACCATAGGTTTAAATCTTATACCTGGAAAAAAACTGTGTCCAACCTGTTGAAGTAAAGTTACGACATGTTTATCAAAAAGTATAAGTGAAAATAAAAATGATGAAGATTTTGATATTGTTAATGAAAGATCCATTCAAAATAAAAATAAAAAAGTGCAAATACACACTTTGCATCTGCCGGAGTAATTCCAATTAAGGTCAAAGGATTGCACAAGTCAGGTAAAATCAGAGAAAGTAAACGAAACTTGACAGCATTAACAACCTTCATTAAAAAAAAAGTTGCCATTTCCCTTAATATATCAGAAGAAAGTTTTGAAGAACAGTAATGTTTTAATAATGAGTATATGCATATAGGGAACTTGTTTGATAACATGATAGTATTGTTAACTAACAAATTTGCAGAGTCTACATCAACATCAAAAAAAGTAAAACTTGCGACACTAGTTCCAACAGACTGGTCAATCAAAATGGTATCTGAAACATTGCATGTAATAAACTAGATAGCTCGAACTGCATGTAAATTAGCATTAGAAACACAGTATTTTAACCATGCCTAATCCTAAATTAGGAAAAGCTCTTCCTGATGTAACAGTTCAAGTGGTCAAGACTTTTTACGAAGACGATGAACATTGCCGTATAATGACTGGTAAAAAGGGCTATGTAATCATAAAGAAAAATGTCCACATGCAAAAACGTTTGCTCTTATGTAACTTATAGGAATTGTTTGTTGCCTTTAAAACCAATAACCCAGAAATAAAAATAGGATTTTCAAGGTTTTTCACTTTGCGACCTAAATGGTGTATTACTTTTGGTGCCTTAGGAACACATTCTGTATGCTATTCATCAGAATTTGAAACTGCTTTGACATCCTCTTGGTGTGACATACAAAGAATTGTTACCCTATATTGTCTGTGATATAACTAATAAAGACTGTATGATGAAGAAATGTGAAAATTGCCCAGCAACTATGAATGCATTGGTTGAAAAACTTTATGATATACTTGGAGAATTTGAAGATGATAATGAGATTAAATTTGATCAATGGACAACAACAGATAGGTCAAACTTGACTCATAATAAAGAGCCAGTGTTTCAATACATTGAACTAGTATGTAGAAAACTGGAAAAACTTGCATCACATTCGTATTTAGCAAAGAGTCAAGCATTACGACTTGATAAACTCGAAAGCGAATTTAACACCAACAAATCAAAAACTTCAATCTTAGAAAAAAAACTTTAGAGATATCAAAGAAACCTTTAACTTCCAAGAGGAAAACCTAACAAATAAACTAGCACAAATGAGTCAAAAGTGTAACAATGAAATTAGTATACTAAAAAAGAAGACTATAGATTTGGAAAACAGATCACGTCGTAACAATCTAAGAATTGACGGAGTATCCGAATCAAACTCTGAAACATGGAACGACTGTGTTAGCATAGTAAAAAATATCTTTAAAAATCAATTGGGAATTGCAGAGGACATAGTAGTTGAGAGAGCCTATCAAGTAGAACAAGTAAAAGAAGACAAGCCGCGAACAAAAATTCTCAAACTTTTAAATTTTCATGAAAAAAGCAAAATATTATCTTTAGCAAAAAAACTTAAGGGCAGTGAAGTATTCATAAATGAAGATTACGCAAATGAAACCTTAGAAAAACGAAAAAAGCTTTGGGAAGAAATAAAAAGACACCGAAAAGAAGGTAAATTTGCCGTTATCAAATATGATAAAACTTTTGTACGAGAGTTTCGGAAATAAGTGAAATGCTTAACCTTAATTTTATAAAAATAAACTCTTAATCATGCGCAATGGCTAACAAAACAATTGACTTTGAAACCAAACAATTAAATTTTTTTGAA